CTGCTCTAAAAATCAGACTTTTTGCTAAGAAATAATCAGGAAGTCTTCTATTGAGGAAGGTAACAGCACTTTGGTTTTTCTGCTCTAAAAATCAGGCTTTTTGCTAGGAAATAATCCTGAAATCTGCCATGGAGCTGCTTTTTTTTTCAGAAAGGAGCTCCATTTCCTCACAGACGTGTAAGGTTTGGCAGGAGGGGGTTGTTGTGCCTGTTTTATAGCACATGGGAGAGGAAAATCCCGGGGGTCATGTACCCCAAACCGAGTTGAATTCCTGATGCTCAGCTCAGAGGACACAGCCCATGGCATCAGTGTGTGTTGTTTGCTCTCCAGTCCGTGTCTCAGCCAATTGTGCTAACTCAGAAGGCTTTTCCAGCTTCCCTCCAGCCTCTAATGTTACTGCTCTTTGCAGCTGACTTTGGGGTGTCTGCCAAGAACCTGAAAACCCTGCAGAAGCGAGATTCCTTCATTGGGACCCCTTACTGGTGAGTGCCCTGCTCATGGAGGGCTCCACTCCTAAAAATCAGCTTTGCAATGGAGCTTTGGGGGGTGCTGGGCCACTCTGCTTTAGGGTGGGAGGATCTCAATGAGGATTCTTGGCCATTTTCTTGCACATTTCAAGGGTTTTCCTTGAGCAGAGCTGTGAGAGCTCTGTGTGCTGCAGAGGGGTCACAGCGCTCCAGGCTTGCAGGGTCACACGAGTGTGCTCTCCCCACCCCGGGGGTGACATGGGCTTTGAAGCCACTCCAAGCACATGGGAACGAGGCCCTGCCCCAGAAACACAACCTCTAAATCACCCAGCTTGCTGGAGGAGTGGAACTGCACGGATTAATTGATGCTCTGAGGCAACATCCGCGCCAGATGTCAACGGCCTGGGGGTTTTCTGGGGAAAAAGGAGGGGGCTGCACCCCGTGGAAAAGATGCTGAAACCCAGGTCTGGGGGGGAAAGCTGTGTTTTCTGCAGCTCTGGGGAGGAAAAGCTGTTTCCTGCAGCTCTGTGGGTTATTTGTGGGCGTGGGTTATTTGTGGGTTATTTCATTGCTGCTGCCCTGCCCGTCGCAGGATGGCCCCGGAGGTGGTGATGTGTGAGACCATGAAGGACACTCCCTACGACTACAAGGCTGACATCTGGTCCCTGGGCATCACCCTGATCGAGATGGCCCAGATGGAGCCGCCCCACCACGAGCTGAACCCCATGAGGGTCCTGCTGAAGATCGCCAAGTCCGACCCGCCCACGCTCAGCTGCCCCTCCAAATGGTGAGGGGGCACCTCCCAGCTCTCACATGGAGAAAAACCAGTTGGTTTTAGCAGTTTTCTTTCATTTGGGTAGGGTTTTAGCTGTGTTCCAGCTCCAGCTGTGTGCAGGGGGCTGGGAAGGCGGTGCTGGCTGAGGGCAGGATGCTCACAGTGTGCTCAGAGGGTCCAGGCAGCACAGGGAGAGCTGCTGCTCACCCACAGAGCCCCCAAAACCAGAGAGCTGCTGCTCACCCACAGACCCCCCCAAAAAACCAGGGGTGACCCCTTGGCTGTTCTCAAAACAAGCCATGTGTATGAAAGGCAGATTTTTCTCTAAAGCTGGAGATGGCCAAGAGCTCCAGAACTGGTTTCCCTGAAGTCTGGAATGCCATTTCTGCATGTAAAAGAAAACTAAGCCAGTTCAGTTAAAGAAAACAAGCCACTAATTTTCATTTGTTTATTTAATTTATTTATTTATTTATTTATTTATTTATTTATTTAATGTACTTATTTCTAAATGATAAAAGCTGCAAGTGACTGGCAGAGCCCTGGAGCCACAGCCCTGTCACAGCACTGTCACAGTCATTGTCACAGGCAGAGCCAGGGTGGGAATCCCTCTGGAGCTGCCCAGGAGTGACACCAGGGCCACGCTCTGCAGCTCAGAGCTGCACTTTGCAGGCTGAGGGTGCCCTCCTATGGGGCTCCTGCTCCTTCACAGCCACCCTTGCCCACTGGATGGCTCCTTGTCCCCAAGCAGCTCCTGCTGCCATGGGCTCCTTTGGGGACAGCTGCTGTGTCCTGCCTGTGCCTGGGGCTCAGTCCCCACCATCTGCTGCCAGCACAGGAAAAGGCAAAACCTGGTCCCTGACCTGGCCCTGGTGCTGCTTCTCATACAAATAATCAGAATTACTGAGCACAGGGTTTCCCATGGGAGCAAAATGCTGATTGTGGCCAGTTGCAAGCTGGGGCGGGACCTGCTGAGGGATCAAGCTGATCCCTCTGCTATTTGGGGCCTTTCCTGTGCTGAGTTTCTCACCACCAGCTGTGTTTGAAGGTCCCTGGAGTTCAGAGATTTCCTGAAGAAGGCACTGGACAAGAACCCAGAGACCCGGCCCAGTGCTGCCCAGCTGCTGGAGGTAGGGACAGACCAGAGACCCCAGACTGGATTTTGATTATTTCTGTCTTGTTTAGAAAGTTCATAGCACTTTTCAGCCACTAAAACTCTCCAAAAAGGATCAGCAATGCTTCTCCCTTTGGAGCAACCTGCAGAGCCCCTGTGGACACCAAGTGGAGCAGAAGCAGCTCCTGTAAACACCCCTGTGGCAGGCAGCTTGGGCTGAACCTGGTTAGCCCTGATTGAAACTCAATTCCTTTCCTCTGTCCCTTCCCAAAATCACAGCAAAACTGAAAGCTGCTGTGAGCAGTGTGATCCTACTGTGATCACTGAGTGATCCCAGCGCTGTGAGCACCGAGTGATCCCACTGTGAGCTGGAATTCCAGTGTGATCCCAGTGCTGTGAGCAGTGTGATCCCAGTGCTGAGAGCACTGACTGATTCCAGTTCTGTGAGCACAGACTGATTCCAGTTCTGAGAGCAGTGTGATCCCAGTGCTGAGAGCACCGAGTGATTCCAGTTCTGTGAGCAGTGTGATCGCAGTGCTGAGAGCACTGACTGATTCCAGCCCCATCCCAATTAAATCTCCCCCCAGGCTCTCTTTGTCCCAGGGATCCTGCAGACTGCTCCTGGTGACATTCTGTGGGCAGATGTCCCTTGTTTAAATCCCACTGCTGATTTTTTTGGGGGGGAATTGCTGCCATAAAGCAGCTTTGGGGAGCACCTGAGGTTCAGTGTGCCCTGAACCTCATCCCAATTCTCTCCTGTGAATTCCTCTAGGGGTAAATCCCAGTGACACTGCAAGGAACCACAGCCTCAGGTCTCTGAAAGCCCAAAGTCCTCCTTGTGCTCCCAAGGTGTGACTTTGGCCAGCTGACACTTTCGCTGTGCTTGGTTTTCAGCATCCCTTTGTCAGCAAGGTCACCAGCAACAGGGCCCTGCGGGAGCTGGTGGCCGAGGCCAAGGCCGAGGTGATGGAGGAGATCGAGGACAGCCGGGATGAAGCAGAGGAGGATGACTCCTCCGAGTCTGCCTCGGTGAGCAGCTGGGGCTGTGCTGGGAGACAGAACCTGGTGCTTTTTTCAGCTTCCAAAAACTGGTTTGGGTCACATCAGGTGGAGGGGAAGTGGTTGATCAGGGAGGGAGGGGCTGGGTTGTGGTGGCTGCCAAAGGCATGGAGAAATAATGGTGCCTCAGTGCCCACTCATAGGAGGGGCTCTGAAAAGTGGTTAACAAACAAAAGGAAAAATAAAAAGGGAAGTAAGCCCTGATGCAGGCTGGAGAAACTGGAGAGGAAGCAAAGGCAGCAGCACATGGAGGGAGCTGGGCAGATCTGCCCCTGGGCTTGGCTCTTTGCTGGGGACATCTCAGAGCTGCTTGGGGACACATCTCAACCTCCCTTCTCTGTCACAAAGGGAAGTGGCTCCTCCACAGTGGTGTTAGCCATGGGAAAATGAATTTGATGTGCAAATTCCTTGTCTGCCTCTTAAACATGTGCAGGTTCTGGGGCTTTTTCATTGCTCCTCTTCCTTCCCCCCAGGATCCTTGGGGCCACCAACCTGGGGCAGGATGGAAGCATCCCAGGGCAGATGTCCTAAAAGGGACATTCCCTCCCAGTGCAGTTCAGGGTGACCTTGCTGTGCCTTGTAGCCCTCACAGCTGTTGAGTGGTGGTGCCAAGCCCAACATCTGTCCTTGCCTGTCTTTGCAGCCCCCTGGGAAGCACAAGAGGGACTCCTCCGAGGTGAGCCAGCTGAGCTTTGATGGGGAGAAACCTCCAGACTCGTCCTTGCCCAAAGCCCTGAACGGCTCCACGGGCACTGGCAAGGACACCACAGAGAGCCAGAGCCACAAAGCCTCAGACAAAGGGGTGAGCAGTGACGGTGACAAACTGGAGAGCAACCACTCCACAAAACCCAGCTCGGCCTCCTCGGCCACCCAGGACAAGCCGGACATCATCCTGCAGCCAGGACATTTGGGAAACTCAACGGAGGGGAACAAGGAGCCCAGGCCAGGCAGGGAGGAGAGGAAGAGCCTTGGGGAGAGGAAGAGCATCGGGGAGGGGAAGAGCATCGGGGAGGGGAAGAACATTGAGGATGGGAAGAGCATTGAAGAGAGGAAGAGCATTGAAGAGAGGAAGAGCATTGGGGAGAGGAAGAGCCTTGAGGAGAGGAAGAGCCTTGGAGAGAGGAAGAGCATGGGGGAGAGGAAGAGCATGGTGGAGCGACCAGAGAGCGTTTTCCTGGAGAACTTCAGCGAGGAGAAGCTGGCCAATGGAAGCCTGGAGCCCCTGGGGCCGTTCCCCCGCTCCAAAAGGGACTCAGATTCTGGCAGCACTTCAGCCTCCGAGAGCATGGACCTCACCATCTCCTTGTCTGCTGACCTGTCCCTCAACAGGGAGAGCGGCTCCATCTCCCTCAAGGTGAGGGTGCTGGAGAGGGTGCAGGAGGGAGGGACCCTTCCCTAGGAAAAGCTCTCCAGGGTTTGTTTCCATGCTGCCTGTCCCTGGGCTTCCTCAGGCCAGCACAGCATGCACAGCTGGGCTGAGCTGTGCCAGGGGCATGTGGCATGTCCTCAGGTGAAGGAGGAGCTCTTGGTGGAGCTGCTGAAGGTTCATGTGTCCTCTTCTGGCCAGGACACTGAAATCTAGGGGAAGTCTGATGTCTTGGGTCTATTTTGTGTGAAATAACCACGCCATGACCCTGACTTGTCCTTGCTCAAGGGTGAAACCCCAAATGGGGCTCCCTAAACTTTATCCATAGTGCATCACTCTGCTGCTCTTCCTTGGCACTCCTGATCCCAGAGAAAAGCTCATCTGGGCCTGTGCCTCTCAGTTTTCCCAACATCTGGCCTGGTTTGTGTCAGCAGGGACTGCACAAAGACCTCCCAGGCTTCTGGGCTTTTGGTAAAGCTTCCTGGAGGCTGGGAATGCTTGACCTGGAGCTGCCCAGACCAGCAGGGCTTCAAGGAAGAGGCAAAATAACTGGAATGGTATTTTCTGAGCTCCAGGAGAAGAAATGCTGTGCCTTGAGGGGGCAGAGGGAAGTGTTGCACAAGATCTTTGTCACGTTGTCCGCATGAGTGAGAAGTTCCCGGCACAGAAACGTGCCTGAAAACCTTTCTTGGCAAACCCTTCCCCACCTCCTGCTGGGAGCTGGAGAGCCAGCATCCCCCAGAGCAGCCTGCAAACCCTAGTGACTGGAAATGGGATGCTCTTGCACAGGAATTTCCTCCTCCTCCTTTCCAGCACACCTGGAATCCTTGAGGAGGATGCCACACAGAGATTTGCTCTCTGAGTGGATCCTTTAGAAGGGGAAAGGATTTTTTTGGGTTTTTCAGGGAGTAAGCCATGTGAGGAAGGGTCTTTGGGAGGTGGGTCAGGTTTCTTCAGGGTGGAAGTTGTGCTGCTCCATAGTTTGGTATCCAGGCTGGATCTCCAAACTCACCGATGGTTTGTGCTCCGTGTGGTTTCCTTCTGTATGTTCCTCATGAACAACAGAGCGCTAGAATTGCTCTGAGGGCTCCAGTGCAACTCTGAGGGCTCCAGTGCAGCTCTGAGGGCTCCAGTGCAGCTCTTGCTGCCCCGGGGAGCTGCTTCAGGGCCTCCTCTCCCCCTGCCACCCCAGGACTCACGGCTGCAGAAGAAGACCCTGAAGCGCACCCGCAAGTTCGTGGTGGACGGCGTGGAGGTGAGCGTCACCACCTCCAAGATCATCAGCGAGGACGAGAAGAAGGATGAAGAAATGAGGTTCCTCAGGCAAGTGGGGCACTGGGATGGAGGAAAAGCAGGGTTTCCTCTCTGTGAGCTAATCCAGTTAAAATCCTCTTTGTTGTCTTGGTCCCACTTGGGCAGGGGAAGGAGGGATTCAGCTCAACATGCAGCAAAATTAACAAGGGGAGGTTTGTTGTGGCTGGCTCTGTCCTCTGGGGATGACTGAACGTGTCCCCAGGGCTGCAGATGGCTGGCTCAGTGGAAATTAGCTGGGAAATCTTCTCAAGATGTTCCTCTCCCTTTTGTTCTCAAATCTCCTCAGACTTCGTTAACAGAATGGCCAAGGGAGTTGTCAACTCCTGGAGCATTATTTAATATTCATGGGTGTATCTTCCCTGCTTGATGACTCCTTTGCAGATCTTGCAGCCTTCAAACCTCCCTGACTTATCCTCAGAAAGAGGAGCTGCTGTTTCCAGCTCTGAAATGAAAAGGCCCTTAAAATAATTAAAATACAAATTGTTTCGTTTGATGCCCAATTCCAGGCTCCCTCGTGCTGCTCTCAGGGACTCCCTGAGAGGATAATTTGTCCTAAACACTGTGTCCCTGTGGCTGCCTTATTCCTCAGCCCCAATATCAGATTTATGTAAAAGCTCATTAGCAGAGCTCATTTACTGAGCTGCTTTTGGGTGGTTCCTGAGGTGCTTTTGGGTGGTTCCTGAGGTGCTTTTGGGTGGTTCCTGAGCTGCTTTTGGGTGAGCTGGATGAGGGGAGGGATGCAATGTCATTATAGATGGGTCAGAATTTGGGAAAACTGCCTTTTTTCCCACCCAAGTATGAATAAGAATGGATACAGAGCACAGAGGCCAGGCCAGAGCAGTCCAGCTTGGGATTTGGGGACCAGTGAGCACTAACCCAGCTGGCACAATGGATATTTGGGGGACACCAGTGCCTGCAGAACCTCCTCAGGAGCCTTGCCAGGGCTTGTTTGGGAAGCTGTGAATGCTAAAGGGCTTTACCTGTGGGAGCTGATGGTTTTCCAGCCATTCCCATGAGCAGCATCCTGCTCCCTGCAGTGTCCCAGCAGCTGGAGCACATCAGGCAGCTGGGATGTCCCTCCTGCCTGTGCTCACACCAGCCCAGGGTGCTGTGGGCTGCAGTTTCCACTCCCTGCTGAAGCACTCTGCTCGTGGATGTGCCCATTTCTGCCCGTGACACCCCTCTGACCCTGCACCCCTGTGTGCCCCTGCCCACCGTGCCCCTCTGCAGGCGCCAGGAGCTGCGGGAGCTGCGTCTGCTGCAGAAGGAGGAGCACAGGAACCAGGTCCAGCTGAACAGCAAGCACCAGCTGCAGCAGGAGCAGATGCTGCGGCGCTTCGAGCAGGAGATGATGGTAGGAGGGCAGGGAAACCCTGGGAACCCAGCTCAGGGATGCTCTCCAGGTTGGAACAGCCTTGGGCATCACAGGAGCCCCTTTGGGATGTGAAGCATGGATGAAGGATGGAGGTTTTGTGGGCATTAAGCACCCTGGGAAGCACTGGCAGCCTCTGCCTGGCAGGGTGTAGCAGGGAAAGGGTTGTTCTGGACTTTCTTTAATGATCTTTTCTTTGATGTCTCTTCATGGCTACTGTGAGAAACAGTTTATAGTGCTGTGTAATTCACAGGAAAGAAAAAAACTTTAAATAAGAAAGCAGCACGGCCTGAGTGTGACAGCAGGAAATCTGGCAAGGCTCTGAGTGTAAATTGAATAAACCGGCCTCACACATTTGGTCCCTTCTGTTGAAGCAAAATAATATTGTAGCTAATCACACAATGGTGTGGGTTGGAAGGGACCTTAAAGATCTTCTCCTTCCATGGCACGGGGACAGTGTTGGAGCACAGAGCTCCAAATTTTGTGAGGTGTTGGTTGGAAGTTTCCCTCCTCTCTAAAGAGGCTCAATGTGCTCCAAACGTTGTGAGGTATTGGTTGGAAGGTTCCCTCCTCTGTAAAGAGCCTCAACGTTGAAGCACAGAGCTCCCAATGTTTTGAGGTGCTGGTTGGAAGTTTCTCTGCTCTGTAAAGAGGCTCAGTGTTGGAGCAGCTCAGTGTTGGAGCACAGAGCTCCCAACGTTGTGAGGTGTTGGTTTGAAGTTTCCCTCCTCCTAAAGAGGCTCAATGTTGGAGCACAGAGCTCCAAACATGAGGAGTTGGTTGGAAGTTTCCTTCCTCTGTAAAGAGACTCAACCCAAGCAAGAACACCCCCCCGTCCCCTTTTATTTTTTCCTCTTTTCACTTTTCTTTTTAAACTTTAGGAAGGCAACAAAGCAAGAACCCTAACCCTAACCCTAACGTTTCCTGGGCAGGCCAAGAAGAAGTTCTATGACACGGAGCTGGAGAACCTGGAGAGGCAGCAGAAGCAGCAGATCGAGAGGATGGAGCAGGAGCACGGGCTGCGGCGGCGCGAGGAGGCCAAGCGCATCCGCCTGGAGCAGGAGCGCGACCACGCGCGCTTCCTCGAGCAGCTCAAGCAGATGAAGAAGGAGGTGAAAGTCTGGGCATGGGAGGGAGGGAAGGTTCCTTGAGAGAAAAGCAGTTGGTGTTTTATGGGGAAAGTCTTGATTTTGGGTGGTTCCTGAGGTGTTTTTGGGTGATTGCTGAGGTCTTTCTGGATGATTCCTGAGAGACTTTTGGGGGATTCCTGAGGTGGCTTTTGGTGATTCTTGAGGCCCTATTTTGGTGATTGCTGAGGTGCTTTTGGGTGATTCCTGACGTTTTTTTGGTGATTTTTGAGGTGCTCTTGGATGATTCCTGAGGTGTTTTGGGGTGGTTCCTGAGGTGGTTTTGGGTGATTCCTGACGCGGTTTTTGGGTGATTCCTGAGATGTTTTTGGATGGTTCCTGAGGCCCTAGTTTGGTGATTCCTGAGGTGCTTTTGGGTGATTCCTGACATGGTTTTTGGGTGATTCCTGAGGCCCTATTTTGGTGATTTCTGAGGTTTTTTTGGGTGATTTCTGAGGGCCTTTCGAGTGATTCCTGAGATGGTCTTGAGCGATTCCTGAGGTTTTTTGGGTGATTCCTAAGGTGCTTTTGGATGATTCCTGAGGTCCTTTTGCGTGGTTCCTGAGGTGGTTTTTGGATGATTCCTGAGCTGTTCAGTGACTGGAGGTAGGGTTGTTCCTGGCCTAAAGTGCCCTGCAGGGAAATTTAATTTCCTCCCCACAGGTGAAGAACGAGGTTGAGAAGCTGCCACGGCAGCAGCGCAAAGGGAACCTGAAGGCGAAGATGGACGACTTCACCCAGAAAAAACAAACCATGGTGAGACTCAGGGAACATCCCCCCCAGCCCCAAAACTGGGAAATGTGCAGCGGAATAAAGCATCCTTCCTGCTGCAGGGACTGGCAGGTTCTGCAACACCAGCAGCTGCTTCCCAAGCTGCAGCAGAGGGAGAGCTCATGGTGGCACTGCTGCTTTGTTAACAGGAACAGGAGTTTTTGGCCAAGCAGAAGGAGGACTTGGAGCAGGCCATGAAGAACATCATTGCCCAGAACAAAAGAGAGATCTGTGACAAGGAGCGTGAGTGCCTCAGCAAGAAGCAGCAGCTGATGAGAGGTGGGTGGCAAAGGCTGGGAGGGAGTGCTGCAGCCATGGCTTTATCCAGCCCTGGCTCTTCCCACGCAGCAGATGCTGTGACAGAGCTGCAAGCTGCCAGGATGGGATGTGGAAAAAATCAGCTTTGCCAGGTCCTGTCTAAATGTTTAACAATAATAATACTTAGTGCTTTAATCTTCAAAGTGCTTTACAAATATGAACCAATTAGGCTTCATAATTGCGAGAAATCAGGTTCCAATATGGTTTGCAACCAATTTCTCATGGAAAACAGGAGATGAATGGTCACCCCCAACATCTGCTGTGCTGTTGGTGTGCACACCAGAGGTCTCTCGAGCTTGGGACACTTGTGTGACCAGGATGGGAGGCCAGGGTGGGTGATCTCCTGCTCCTGCTCCTCCCCACAGACAGAGAAGCTTCCATCTGGGATCTGGAGGAGCGTCAGCAGCAGGAGAAGCACCAGCTCATCAAGCAGCAGCTGAAGGACCAGTATTTCCTCCAGAGGCACGAGCTGCTCCGGAAGCACGAGAAGGTGAGGGATTTACACCCTCCCACGCTGGTGTGGGCCAGCAAAGTGTCCACATGTCCTTGGGTGTTTCCCTTCTAGGCTGAGAGGGGGGAAATCACCAAGGCTGTGTGTTCAGTCCCTATATGGGCTATTCACTTAAAAGCTGGCCTCAATCCTTGTGGTCCCTTCCAGCTCAGAATATTCTGTAATTTATGAATTCTGTAATTCTAAGGGTGGGTTGGGAGTCAAAGGGTTTGGTCATTATTAGTGAAAAAGAACCAGAGTAAAGCTGGTGTCAAGAAGGCAATGAAGCCTTCTTGCCTGGGACGTGTGCTCTGTGTTGTGTGTATTTAATGTGCAAGAAGTTGGGAATTCTGGGGGGCTTTTCTGGAAATCTGCCACTGCCCAGGATTTGGCATGGTGTCTTCCCAGAGCGTGAAGATTGGCACTTCCAGCCCCTTCTCCTCTGCTTTCCCAGCACGTTCAGTCCTTGCCATCCCCTCTTATCCCTTTGGAGTGTCACCAGCCACCTCCAGGCTACTCCCAAATGTGCCCTCCTGCTCCCCTGTCCTGCTCAGGGCTCTGGGGAGGCATCCCTCCCTCTGAGCCCCGTGTGCCTGCAGGAGAGGGAGCAGATGCAGCGCTACAACCAGCGCATGCTGGAGCAGCTGAAGGTGAGGCAGCAGCAGGAGAAGGCCCGGCTGCCCAAGATCCAGCGCAGCGAGGGCAAGACCCGCATGGCCATGTACAAGAAGAGCCTCCACATCCACTCCAGCGGCACCGCCTCCGAGCAGAGGGAGAAGATCAAACAGGTCAGGGCCTGAAAAGGCACCAGGAGTTGAGGCTTGGCTTGGTGTGGGGGGAGAAAGCTGCATTTTCCCAAATTGCTGTTTCCATATTCTAACGTACTGCTGGGTTGGAGGGCTCTGTTTTGTGGCGTTGTGTGTGGTTTTCAGCGCTGCCTCCATCGTGACAAAGCAACACAAATTCCTGCTTTGCTGTGCAATGATAGAAGTTGGGCTGGTGTCTCAGGCAGCCCCAGAGACCAGGGCAATGCTGCCTACACATTGCTTTTCTCTCTGCCAGTTTGCCCTGCAGGAGGAGAAGAGGCAGAAGGCAGAGCGGCTGCACCAGCAGCAGAAGCACGAGTCGCAGATGAAGGACATGCAGGCCCAGTGTGAGAGCAACACCAACGAGCTCCAGCACCTCCAGGTACTCATCCCGCGTGGCCTGGGCTGCCAGAGCTGCCTGTTCAGGGCTCAGCCTCTGCAGGAGTGCCTGCAGAGGACTCTCAGGGGTTGATGTCCCCTTGCTCTTGCCTTGAGAGGGTTTTGTTGCCATGTCTAAACGTGGAGCTCAGAGCTCTGGATGTTTCTGCCCACAACACTTCCTGTTTGTAAGAAATAGATGTAACTAAATCCGATAAGCCAAGAAACATTTATAATGTATTACAATTAAGAAATAATTAGCTTCTGATTGTAATAGCCTGAATTATTACATCTGCATTGTCTCACCCTTCACATGAGACTGGAAATGGAAGAAAAGTTTTTAAAACACCTCTCAGTTACCCCATCTCCTAGTCAGAAAAGAGCTTAACCCAACATTTGCCCACTGGCTGTACAGTTCCGGCTGCTGATGGCTGTTGTGTTTGCTGATGTGTTTTTAGAACGAGAAGTGTCACCTCCTGATTGAGCATGAAACCCAGAAGCTGAAGTCCCTGGATGAGAACCACAACCAGCACATGAAGGAGTGGAGGGACAAGCTGAGACCACGGAAGAAGGTGGGGCTGTGAGCAGGGTGTCCTGGCTGGCCGGAGGGCACAGTGCCCATAGCTCCAGAACCATCTCAAACCCAGCTCTTGTGTTGTTCTCTTTGCTCAAGGCCCTGGAGGATGAGCTGAACCAGAAGAAGCGTGAGCAGGAGATGTTCTTCAAGCTGAGCGAGGAGGCCGATGGACAGGTGCCAGTGTCACCAACCAAACACGCCAAGTTCGTCCCCTTCAGCTCCTCAGAGAGCTTGTAACACCTGGCAGGCCACCAGCTGGGACTGGCCGTGTCCTCCTGGGCTGCAGGGACAGCTTGGACTGGGAAGAGCCTCTCACAGCCCCTTGCCACCACGGCCTGGGATAAACGTGGCCTCTGCACTGAGGGACCCTGGCTGGAACTTGGGGTGGCTCTCCCAGGAGCTCCAGGCTGGGAATTGGGGCAGGAGCCTCTCTGGATTTGCACTTGCACTGATGGCTGGATGCTTTTGGGGTGAGCCTGGTGCTCACTGGGTTTGTCAGCTCAGGCTGGAGCAGTGCCCACGCTGATCAGGAGACACAGCCCCTGGGGCAGGGCTGTCACCTCCCTCTGCAACCTGGCTGCTCCTGTCCCAGTCCTTTGGAAGGCCTGGCCTGGGCACAGCAGCTCTGGCATTGTCTTAAACTCACCTTGGCCTTAGACTTACCCCTCTCCACCATGGCCCTTTTATTGCCACAGAGGGACAGAGATTTGGGGTTTTTCTGCCTAGAGAGGGCTGGGTTTTTTCTTTCCACACAGCCTGTGCAGAAAGGGGCTGGATGTCCTCTCAAAGATGCTCCTGCTCTTCCTTTGCTGTGACCAGTGGCACCACAGCCCCTCTGGCACTAACTGTGTTATCAGAGGCTGGTTTGGGCTGGTTACACTGCCCAGCTGTAGGTTCTGAGGCAGTGCAGGTGCAGAGGGGACACTGGGGACAGCTCAGTCCTGTGGTGACACAGTGACTGTCACTGCCATGTGCCTTGGGGATGAGTGGGGTGAAGGGTGTTACAGCCAGAGCTCTCACATCACACAGGTGCTTGAGGCTGGATTTTCACTCTTTCCTGTGTGGGGCCCTGTGGGTCAGGCAGAGGGTGATGCCTGCACAGCATCGTTGCGGAGGAGCAGAGGGACAAGGGAAGAGGAGATGCAAACGGGGCTTGTTGCTCCCAGCACCTCCTTGTCCCCTGATGTCTCGTCTCCCTGTGATGTGCCCCAGCTTTTTGGGTGTTTCTCCTGGCTGGGAGTCGTGGCAGAGGGGCAGAGCAGGTCCTCTGTCCTTTCTGTCCCCTCCTGGGGCACAAGGCAGGGCTTGGCTGAGCTTGGGTGGGACTGGGAGTACAGAGCTGGGCAGGGCTCAGGGACCTCACTGGCAGCACCTTCTTCTTTACACGACCCAAAGGTGTGAGGCAGCACTTAAGTATTTTTTTCTGGACAACGTTGTTCGTTTTAGATCTATTTCTTTAGCAAGAAAAAAATATTCCTGCTTAAAAAAAAAAGAGAAAGAAAATCTAAGAAAAAAGTTATTTTCAAGTCCCCTCTGTTGATTCACTGGCATTTCAGGGAAAGGTGGTATGTGATGTGCCTCACTTCTGGGTACTGGGCTGAAGGAGGCAGCCCCCAGGTGTTTAACTCTGGATCTGAGGGTTCATTTCCTACCCTTTTAGAGCCCATATTTATAAACTTCCTGCAGGCTGGCAGGGCTCAGTCTCTTTGGGCCATCCCAGGTCCCCTCTGATCTCACTGCAGTGATGTCTCTATGAGTGAGCACAGGAAGGGCTCCTGCCCCACCTCCAAAACGTGGATTGTGCCTTCCAGATGTGCTAACACCTGGCTGGGAGCTGATGGAAGGTGAATGAACAGCAAGGGATGTTCCTAAATGGGACTAGGGCTGGCTGGAGACTGTTCTGTGTTCACTGGGTGTGCCAGGCTCCAGTACCTGTCCCTCACCTAGAAGGGGGGCACATCATCTGCTGTCATGTTTACAGCATGGTTATCATTCTCCCTCCTTTCAAAAATGGATTTTTTTGTTGTTCCTGTTCAAAAGGAACCACAATTAAACCCAGCTTGCTTTTCAGGGAGGGGATGGGATGCAATTTTAAAAATTGTGGCTTTGAATAAAAAGGGTTTTTTTTTAATATTTTGTAAAATATCTTCAGTGGGGCCACCACCATGATGTAAAGTCTTCTCTAATAAAGTAACAAACTGAGAAACCTGGGCATGGGTCTGATTTTGTGCCTGCTTGCCAGCTGTGACCTCAGCTCAGCTTTGCTTCTGCTCTGGGTTTTGCTGACTGGGAAAAACTTCTGGCATTGGAACTTTGCAGGGTTAATAAAGGCGAGCTGGAGCCTCTGCTGCTGGGTGAGCTCAGTGCAGGCTCAGATGGTGCTGGGCTGACACTGCTCGGTGAGCAGTGAGTACTGCACCGACAGCAAAGCACTTCTGCAGGGTCCTTTTCCTTTTAATTAACGGGAATCTCACACAAACAATTAATTCCTTTCAGTTCTCCCAAGGAGATGCCTCCCTGTCCCTCCCCATGCGCTCCTCTTCTCAGGAGGAGAAAAAAAAAATCACATTTTGCTCTGTGGGTGCAGGGGGAAATCTCTGCCTCATCCCCTGGGCTGCTCAGGAAAGCTCCCACCACAGAACCCAAACGCCCTTTGTGTCACCGTAATATTTCCTGAAAAATCCTCTTTGCCCAGGATTTTCTCCTGGGAAGCTGAGAAGCCCCAGAGAGGAATGAAAACCAAAATTATCTGATTTGCTGCTCCTGTGTTTGCTGCTCTGGAATGTGCCTTGGACATTGTTTACCCACAGGTGAATGTTTGATTGGTTCCATGTGAATTGTTTTTAATTAATGACCAATCATGGTCCAGCTGTGGAGAGGCTCAGAGGAGTCGCGGGTTTTTATTATTCATTCTTGTTAAAGCCTTCTGATGTATTCTTTCTCTTTCTTTAGTATAGTTTTAGTATAGCATAATATAATATGATTTATGATATATAATATATAACATAAGATCTGATATGGTGAATATAATATAATATAATATAATATAATATAATATAATATAATATAATATAATATAATATAATATAATATAATATAATATAATATATAATATTCCAGCCTTCTGAGGACCTGGAGTCAGATTCTCATTTCTCACCTCATCCTGGGGACCCTCCCAAACACCACACCCTTTGTTCCCTGCTCACAACTTTTCACCTGCTGCTTTCATTGATTCCTCTCAAGGAACTAACATTAAATTAGGGCAGCCCATGGAGCTGCTGTGGGTTTTCCCTCAATTTTGGAAGGTTTTGCCAGAAGCTGCCAATTTAATCTTCGATTTCCTGCAGGAAATGGCCTTGCTGGCAGTGCCCACCCCAGCTAAGTGCAGCACCTGAGTTCAGGTGAGGTGCTGAAAATGAGATGGAATTGGGAGTGTGAGATTTTAAATGAGCAGAGAGAGAGGGATGAGCCGAGCCTGAGGGTTCCTGTCTCCTTGCTCCACAGGATGGTAAGGAATGGAGTAGCTGAGGACACATAATTAATCATTTTGTTTATGTACAGCAGGACTGCAGTGGTCTCAGTGTATCCCAGGGAAGCAGGAGATCTCCTGGGAATATTTAACTTCATCTGCATGTCCTTGGCAGTGCCTGAGGGGAGCTTCAACCACGAGGATTTAACACATATATAAGTATATATATAAGTACTGTATATTCCAGAAATAACTGCTAACTACCATTTCCTCCGGGTGCTAGGCTGAAAACAGAGCGAAAGTAAAAATATTCCTTCATTTTTCAAACCAGAGCTGACAGCCATGAGCAGCTCCAGCTGCAGCATCCCCTGTGGGTCAGCTCCTGTCACACCTGGGCTCCAAACCCCTCTGGGCTGCCCAGGGGCTTTGGCAGCTGCTGCTGCTGGAACTCTCTGGGGGAAGAGAAGCAGGGCAGGCAGGGAGGGTCTGGGGGTTGTGCCTGAGTGCTCTCCTCCCATGGCTGCACCCCTGCTCCCTTGGTGTCTGCAGGGCTCCTTGAGAGTCCTCTGCAGCCAAATGCTGCTCCAGTGGGCAGTGGTTTATTCTCCAAATAAACTCCACCCAGCCTGAGCAATCCAAACCTCCCTGGAGGTGCCGGCCCTGCCTTGCTGCTGGTGTTTGCTCTCGTGCCTGGGATGGGGATGGGTTTTGGGGGCAGTTTGCCCTGGCAGCCCATCCTGAACTGCTCCGGACCTGTTTCCAGGCTGGCAGGAGCTGGATGCTCGCTGCTCTTCCCCTCCTTCTCTTCCTCTCGCTGCTCTTCCTCTCGCTCACTAGATGGCATCACCCTGGAGCTCCTGAAGGGCTCTCCAGCTCTTTCCCTGCATTTGGCACTCTCTGTGACATCCCTTCCACCAGATCTCTGCCTCTCCTGGGGTTTCAGTGCTTTTCCAGCCTGGTCCTCGGGATTTTCACAGCCCCATTTTAGGGACTGAGCATCCCCTGTGTGGGTTCTGCTCTGCCTGGGCAGGATGGGTACTGCCAGCCTGGCTCTCATGGCTGGCACCTCAACCCTGCAATTCAGGGGTCACAGCAGTGGAAAATCATTCCTGGTGACTGCTGAGAATCAGAGAGGTCTGGAAAAATGGGAAATCTCTGCTGGGCTGGACTCCAGCTGCAGGGATGTGTCCTCTGTGGGGGTAGGAGCATCATTTCGTGAGCTGATTTTTGTGAGGTGATTCAGGGAGGATGGATGGGTGCATTTGTTCCGTACACAGGGAGGACCAGAACATTCAGGCTCCTGGCACAATCTCCCAATTCTGAAGTGGCCAAGTGAGGAGCAGAGGCTCTCCATGCCAGCATGGCTCAGTCAGTGTTCCCTCTGCAGTCAGGGCTGATGGTGGGACACTGCATTCCCATTCCACTCCACTGAGAGGAACAGCAGATTTGTCTTTCCAAACAAGCTGTGGGTCTGCTGGTAGATAAAACCAGCTCTGGGAGCTAAAAGAAACAATGGGAAGGATTGCACTGATTGATGAATGGAAAAAGATACTTGCTTTTACAAATAAACTTTAGGTTTGCTGATAAATGAAATTAGACATTGAGAGATGAAAGAAATAATGGGGAAGAAAAACCCCTAAATTCCATAAGAATTAAAAATTAAAAGGGAGGATGATACACCAGAGGGAGATCTTTGGGAAATCTCTGGTATCGGGTGTTTTGGGAAGTCTGAAGCTCTCAAGTACCTCAGAAATGGGGAAAGAGAGAAGGGAAATGTGGCTGGGAAATTGGGATAAAAAGGGAGGCGGCATCCTTCAAAAATGTGAGAGATCCCAGGGGAATGCCCCATGGCCTCTGCCTTTATTGGAATAGAGTAAAAGGACTCCTCTGTCTCTTTTTTGGACATAAACCTCTGGTGTTTGTGGTTTCGTTTTCCTGACACTCCCTGACACCAGGCAGACCTCAGGGACTGCCCAGCTGTGCCCCAACAGCTGGAGCCCACTCACAGCTGTGCAGAAACCCATTTGTCCATCGGAGCTGAGGGATGGATTTTCAGAAGTCGTTTGCCTCTTGTTTTAAATTGTTCAGCTGATCCTGACAGGCACAAGCCTGACTCTTGTGTAGGTCATGACCTCTGCTGTGTAGTTATTTCAGCACAGTTATTTTATTTTATTTGGCTTCAGGAAGCTTCAGCCTGTGCTGAGGGCAGCAGGGGATGAATGTTTACCCTGGGACTCCCCAAGCTGCACCTGCAGCACCCAACCTTTCTGTGGGATGTGCTGCTGCCACATCTCTGCTGTCCTGCAGCAGCATCCCCAGAGGTGTGGGTGAGCACAGGACTCCCAGGCCACTCACAAACCCCTCACTTGGGCTGCCTTACAAATCAAGATTCCTTGAGGAATGACCAGGGCACAGCTCTGCCTCTCCACAGTGATTCCCAGAGCATCTCCCAGGGGAGATGATCTGGTCAGCATGCAGAGCCACTCCCCACTCCTCCCTACAGCCCTCATTAGACTTGTTAATTAAGCACAGGAGCCATTTTGCAGCCTGAGCTGAGATTCTCTCCAAGCCCTGCTGGTTCCTGGGTGCTCATTAGCTGTGAGGCTGCCAGGGCCCAGGAGTGATGGAATCCCTTCAGGCGAGAAGAAAATGCTGATACTTAAGTGCTTCTATACCTTAACTCTTCTTTTCAGCATGTGAAGACCAGAAGGTGTTTCGTTCCTCTCTCAAGCAGCTTTCTCCCTTGCTCCACATCTCAGTGTACACTCCCTCTCTTGGCAGCTGCTTTGGGTGTTTTCCCCTCCATCCTCTGGAGGACTTGTGCATTTCTGAGGGCTTTTAAACGGGTAAAACTTCCTCTGCTCCAGCCTGGACACTCCACACAACAGCAGGAGCTGCAGTTGCAGGTGCTGGTGCTGTCCCAGGCTCTTCATGAGCACTTCCAGTGCCAGCATCCCACAGGAATGTCACAGTGACAGAAGGAAGGGAGGATCCCACAGCTCATCCCCACCTCTCTCCAGGACACATCTGACTGAATAGGGGTGACTGGGGCAGGAGTGGGGCTGATGTGCAGTGACCCAGTGCTGGGTCTGCACCCCAGCAGCCACCAGGGAGGTGACCAATGGCCTGGTGTCCCCTCCAGACAGCCCAGCCACCTCTGCAGGGGCTGGGGGCTTTGCTGAGGGGGAGGCGGATGAAGATGAGCCCTTGGGGAGGGGCAATAAAGCCCTGGCAAACTGCCTGCACCTCCATTAATTCTCGGGGGTGGCTGTAGCAAAGTTAATGGTATTAAAAAAAGAGCCACATTTAAGGAGCCGCGAAGGAGTGAGATGAGTTGTTTATGATTAAATTAAATTCATATGAAAACTAATGACCTGCCAGTGTAAGCCTTGAGTAACTTTATAATGTAATTAAAAGCCCAACGGGGGAGAGAGCTGTGGTTATGCCACGTGTTGAGGAGCTGCTGGGAACAGAGGCCACGGGTAAGTGCTGGTGCAGAGAAGGGCCTGGGCACTGTCCTGGCACAAGGGCACAGCTGGGCACAGAGCATGGCACCAGTGGGGCTGCCAGGAGGAGAGGTGGGTGCAGGGGGACAGCTCCTGGCTCACAGGGATAGAATCATGGGGTGGTTTGGGCTGGAAGGAACCTTAGAGATCATCCCATTCCGTGGACAGGGACACCTTCCACTATCCCAGGTTGCTCCAGCCTGGCCTTGGACGCTGCCAGGGATGGAACTT